TATATTCCATATCAATGACTTGGATTACAAGTGTTAAATCTTTTGCAGATTATAGTTAAATACAAGACCACAGCTAATCGCTAGAGGATGCCCAACCCTTTTATCTCTAAGCAATCTTCTTTATTTTTCTCGTCGGCAGCTACTCCAGCTCCACCTCCCCATCCACATATCCCTACATATGGTATCATTCAGTATATGGTGGTTGAGAAGTATGCCATACTTTCGATGGAGCACAAGACTCGCTTTCATGAGCGTGACTTCTCCAGACACGGCACCACAGAATGGTCTTACAGCAAGATATACAGACAGAACTTGAGCCTAATCTTTGGTCTTGTGGCAAATTTGTTATACCCCCGTTTAGTCCGCATATTCTATCAGAACCTCCGGCCAAATCCAACTAACATAGCACAGATGATTACATCCACTGATGGGTACCCCATCCTTATCTCTGTTGAGACTCTTTCCCAGGCCTTCAGCTGCCCTCACCTACAGCCTCTGGGGATGGATTACCCCATTCTGGAGAGGCCTATCGATATTTACATGATTCAGGGTTTATGTGGAGGTTAATTTGGTGACATCAGATTCATCACTTGTGCCTCCCGCTGAGATTTGCCCCGCTAGATGTGGTTCTTTGATCATGTCCTTCACAGGAATGTCCACATGGCCAGGCACAAGATTGAGTAGCGAGGCAATTTTTTAGCAACTTTTTATGCCATCCACATGGGACAGTAGTTCTCAATGCCCACTATTATCTAGGGGGTGATGCACAAGTTGTGGGAGGAGTACATCTCCAAGGAGAATCCTTAGCGCCCCAAGAATCTGTCATATGCCCATTTAATTACACAGCTTCTTAGGGATCAGCGTTATCCCCTCAACCCTCCTAAGGAGATTAATAAGGGCTTCTACAACTATGAGTGGAAGGAATGGTCTAAATGTTATAAGGCGCTGCTTAAGACAGCCCCACCGGAGATTCCTACAGCTCATCCACCTCTTGCTTCTGTAGTTTATCCACCTCCAGCCCCTGCTACTCCGTATGAGCCTCAGTTTCAACATTATCCCCACTTGCCTGCACAGGATGAGCCCGTTATTCCAGATCTTGAGGCTCCATTTATTATGACTCAGGCTCATTACCAGTCCCTCCGAGATGACATTACCAGTTTCCGTACGGAGGTACGCAGTGATATTACTTCTATGCAAGAGGATATTACCAGTATCTTTACACGGGCAAGTAAGGATGTTACAGCTTTGGGCGTTGAGATAAGGGCGTTGATGTCTGATTTCCTCCGCCAGTTCCAAAATTCTCATCCCTCTCATCCATCATCTTTTGTACCGTGACACTGATGACCATTTCTCTCTCTTTTTATTTATGTTTCTTTATATCTCTCTTTATATATTAGTGGTTGATACATTCATTCTATATGTGGCCAGTCTATTGGCCTTATATTTGGTGGTGTAGTATGACTATTATCACTTTGTGGTTGTTAGATATTTTTCATTCATGTATATATTTAATGCTATCAATTATCAGGTACATTGTTGTTATTGCCTTTTGTGAGACATTTCTCTCTTATCTAAGGACTTTTTCTATCTCTATCTCTTTCTGATATGTCACTTGCATGCACCTCCCACCTCCTATTTACTATTTCTGATGCAGCATATACCAGTGGGATCTTTTCAGGACCATAGTTGATCCCAAGTTTAGGGGGGTACTTCTACTACCTTTTTGGATCCTTACGTTCCTGATTCTTCTTCGCCACTGCTATGCTAGTATACTCTTTCCTTCTCTTACGTTGTTCTCATTGCATATTAAGGACAATGTGCAATTTAATTTTGGGGGTAAGGTGACTTTATGGCATTCTTTGCAAACTCTGAATCTTAAGTATGCAAGTGAGATTTGAGATCAATTTTTGGCCATGCTTTTGATCTTTTGAAGCATAGTTGCCTTGAAATGGCTAGTTTTAAGAGTTTAATACTTCTTATATGCTTATTGATGTTATTTAGGGCTAAATTTTAAATTTTTGATATCATGCTTGCATTTGTGGTCTACATCATCTTATTTGTTAAAAATACTTTGATGATTGATTCTAGAGTGCTACATTTGCACAGGTGCAAACTAGCATTTAAATTGTGAGGTACATGCTTAGATGATTATTGTTTTGGTTATATCCCATTTGAGCTAGTAGACTTTGAAGAGTCATCATTCTTGACAAAATGACCTTGCATGCTAAATTACAATCCTTTTTCTAAGTAACCGGAATTCTTGCCTCATTAAGCATTGAATTCTTTCATCAAAAGGTGAAGGACCCAAAATATAATAATAATAATAATAATAATAATGATGAGCTCTCTCACCAAAAGAGGTGAAGAGTTGGGAAATGAGAAGTGAAAGTTATATTAATTTGTAGCCTAGTTGATTTGAGCTATTAAGTCCTTAGGGGTGTCTTAACAACTAATGCTCTAAAGTCATCTGGTTTAGGAGCCATTGACCCAATGTTCGTTACACAAGTCTTCTAGAGAGCTTAAGAGATCATTACATTGCACCATACTCTCCATCTTTGATCCCATAAAAACAAAACAAAAAAAAAAAAACTTTTTGAATAAAAGGTTCATTTATAGTCTTGATGATTGGTATTTGAAATGTGTGCTACTTTAAGGCCGGATTATGATCTTTACATTGACTATACTAAGATAGCAACATATTTTGATGATGGTTAAATAAAAAGGATGCTAGAATTAATTATAATTTGTATGATTGACTTGTTTGATGTGTGGGGACCATATTTGCTTGCATGATGTTGAAATATTGAGAAAATCTTAGAAATGGCTGAAAATTGCATACTTGAGGTAGTTTTCTCTCGATACTTGTTTGAAATGTGTTTTAATGCTTCTTAAGTGAGAAAGGGCCTTCGATGTTTGTGGGTATCATTTCTGGAAACCCTCACGAGACTTCATTCATCCTCTAGGGGTAACCTAGGGGTGTAAAAGGCTTGTTGCATATGCTAAATGCAACCATGATCCCTACGAAAATAATATTATCTTCTTCTTTTTTTATTGCTTTATTGATTCTAGTTGTATAGTCATTTCTTTTTATTTCATTCTTTCTCATTGCTAAGGGACTAGCAATATTTAAGTTTAGGGGTGTGATAAGTGCTGAAATATGCAGATTTCAGCTCTAATCTTAGGTATAATAGAACCTTATTCTATCTTTATTTTTCCACTTTAGTCTTATTTTGATTTTATTTCCATTTTCAGGTCCATAAGGTTGAAAAGCTAAATCTGATGTCTTAAAGCCTTGGGAAAGTCAACCAAAGTCTTGGGAGAAATCCGAAGCAAAAATAAAGCTGAGCTAAAAAAATTAAGATCTCTGGTCGATCGAGCAAGATCCTTGCTAAATCGAGCTCTAATCAATCGAGCCTTTGTCCTTATCCGAAATAAATATCTTCAGCAACCTCGTTCGATTGAGCTAAGGCTTCGATCGATTGAGCGGGATTGATAGCTACGAAAAATCAGAATTTAAGCCTTCATTCAAGGGGGCTTTTAGAGGCAAAAGAGAATTCTAGATCTACTTTCTCTCTCTAGGGTTTCTCTCAAGGAAGAAGAAGAAGAAAAGGATGAACCTAAGCTTGGAGGTGGATTATGAGACCACCATGATGACATCTACCTTCTCCATAAGTGGTTAGTTCTTCACTTAGGGCTTGGATAAGCCCTAAGCTTATGTAATTAAACCTTTTGTCTTTTAATGTTGGGGATTATAAATTGTAATTAGTGCTTGGTCTTGTGAATTTAAACTTGGTTGTACCAAGGTTTATACTGTTACTTCTTCCAATTGATTCTCTATTTTGATTACATGTTGTCTTATGTGTAATTAGTTAAGGGTTAATCTCTACATTAAGTACTCTTTGTAATTATGCTTAGTGATGGTCATACATGGTTTCTATTGGATACAATTGCTCTTAGTTTGATGAATTATACTTAGTCTTGTTGGGTTGTGACACACCTTAGAGTAATTGTATTTAGGTAGACAATTCATGCTTGATTTTGATAGTTCATGCTTATTCATTGCAATTTGTATTATCTTCTTGAATATCGACGTGTACTTGTAGCTATATTTCTATTACAATGTATTTTCCCATTAATTGAAGGCATTTGGTATGATTGTGTGAGTTTAGTGGTGTAATCCATGCCCTAAGCATCTCTCCTTATTACCTTAATCCAAATTTACTTTACCTTTATTTCATTTGCATGATCTACATAGTAAAATCATCATTAGTATAATCAAATCAATCACTATCTTGTCAATCTCACGCTCATTGATGTTAAGTTATACTCCAAGCCAATAATCCCAATGGACGATCCCTTCTCACTATACTAACGTATAGTTGTTTAATGATTTTATAAATGTAAAAATTGATGTCCCATTTGCCACATATAAACATCTATTAGAAGAGAAATACTAATAATAATAATATAGTAGTTAAAAAAAACTAAAAAAAAAAAAATCTAAATAAAGAATAAAATGTATAATTTAATTTAATAAATACATAAAAATAATTCTATATGAAAATATACCAATAAAATCCTAAACTAAAAATTCTATGTGCAAAATTATTTTTATAATGTTATTTGTTTCAATAAATAATATTTTTTTATATAATAAATAATAATACAAAATTATTCTTATGCGCATGTATTTTTTATCCTTTACAATTTTTTACTTTACAATTATCCACGTGTATAGGTTGTCAAACTCAGATTTGATGTGATATAGATTTAGGAAACTCCCTTTTTTTTAATAATTTAAATATATATTTATTGGGCGAAAAGAATAGATTTTCTTGACATTTGAGAGAAGAGAGGAGCTATTAAGACAATTTAATATTGATTTCATTTTCTGCTAAAACATTTTGTTGTTAATTTTCTACCTACTGCCAAGTAGATCCTAATATAATTTTCTTAACTTTCATCCTCACTCCAAGGAATAAATTTGGATTCCTCCCAAAGATGGTATATCCCTCCTTGTCCCATATTGAAATGAAAACTTTGCTTGGAGAGATTTATTTAAAAAGAGCACAGAGAATAGTCTACTTACAACATCATAATAATCTGACAACACTAGAGCACAAAATTAACAAAAACTAATACCAAATTCAAGCGATGCTACTGAGTAGTGTTTGTTTATTCCATTTTTTTCTGCTTCTGCTGCTGCTACTGCTGCTGATAAGGGAGTTGGGAGAAATTAGGACCTGTGAGAAGTTTCCTCGGGGAGGCGGCCTCAAGAAGAGGTTTTCCAGTTCCTATGAGTGAACTTCTTCTTACCCCATGGTTTGCAAACACCAAGCGAAAGGTCCAAGCTAGAACATTTGGTGCAAAGACCCTATAAAGTAGGAATACATCGTACCAACTCGGGAACTTCACATATGCATCTCCTCGGCAGGCGCCAGATACAATCAACCTTGCAAACTCCTCCACAGGAGCACTAAATGTTTGTACCTTAAACCACAAGGTTTAAGAAAGTATAAGCAAATTGAACGTGACTATGCAAAAACTAAAAATGGCTCTGTGCCATAAGAATTAAGCTAGTTACAATATGACAATTGTACCTTTAGAACATAGCTGGCTAGCTGCATGTGTCAGAATGCTTATTCATACGTTGAAATCATAGCAAAAAGTTACTATTTTATATATTTGAAAAGTGGTGTTCTAGAGATTCTAATCTAATTCACATGTGTTTGTATTTGTGCATGCATATATGCATGCGTATATTTATATGTGGATGAGTGTGTATTAAATAATACGTTTCATTTTTTAGTAAACCTAATTGGAAAGACTTTTCGGTGTTTATGACTGAGAACTAACATTTGTTGCATGATAAATTATTTGTTTAGACAGCATAACATATATCTAGTTTATAATTACGTGGAAGCATATGAGTAATCACAAGAACTTACTTCACTTTCTTCCTTCCACTGCATCTCTGAACCTTCTTCTAGCATGAATTTGCCCCTAATCATTTCACTTCCAATCCAACCATGTGTTGCAACTGTTATTGCAACCTCATCTTTCACTTCAAACCTTAGTGTCTCATAAAAGTTTATTAGAGCTGCCTTTGCTGCCTAGTCAGATCAAGTAAAGCCGGAAAAACCGTTACAAGTCTAGAGATAAAAGGCTTCAAAGAATTCAAGCCAAGCAATAATGAAAAGGAAGAAATAAGTGAACAATTACACGACGGAAGAACTATCATCATGACGAATCTTGTTGTTTCAATGCTAATGCAAAGTAAGAAAGATTAGCCTTAGATGAACATAAGAAAATTCAAGTGAAAGAGATAACTGAATAGAAAAGCTTAGAAAGGAAAAATATATTATTATTTAGGATCACTTGAAATGCAAACAATTTCTCCACCCATATGGTTCACAATTACTACAATCAAAACATGTAATTTCAAATGTACTAAAATCATTCTTATATAGTTATTAATTAATTAATTTGTTAAAGAAATGTATTGATTTGTGTCTTGAACTTCAAGGTTACTCACCCCTTATATGGCAAGCTTGCCAGAACCCCTCAAGCCTTGGGGAGGCAAATCCTAGGTTGTTATGTTAGTTGCATCATTCCCACAGGATCATAACTTTAGTCACAGACAATATAATAGGCAATTGGAATGCAATTTGGAGGAATAACGACAAAATTGATGCAAATAAATGGATTCAATGGTTAGATGGGTTCAATAGACCTTTTACAAATTTCTAGACAAAATAAATAGATAAAAGTACTAACTACAATTATTATTATTTTTTTAAAAAAAAATTTTGAAATGGTTTCCTGCTATACTGGTTCCAGAACTAGAATATCCATGTACTTGTAGCCAAACAGGCCAAATTTGGTGTCTTTTATATATAAAGACTGCAACTTCCCTAAACACAAACCAAAGCTTAGTGTCACGTCCAACACTGAGAGGTTATGCCACGCGGCCACATAGACAAATGAAGCCGTGACCTGAGTCAGATTTTGTTATTATATATATATATATATATATATATATATATAAAACTTAATTACAGTACTTAATTTAGATCTATTATGACCCACCACCATCCTCTTTCTTAACGATGTAGGACATCACAATCACCATATTTTGGGACTTAGCATCTTCGCTGACTTGATCCTCATGGACTTATGTGCCATTGACTCTGGTATCATCTCCCTCCTGTATATATATTATCTGCTTTGTACACTCGTCATACTTGCAATTTTCAAGCATGATTAGAACAAAATTTTCCTATGTGGCAAGTTGTTATTGGCGTTGTATCTTCTGAGAAGATTTGTGCTCTTGGATAAGGGTACATGGGACATGTTAAATCCTCTCTCTCCAAACCCCTCTTCTTTTACCTATTGACATGGTATGGGTAATTTATTCTTTTATTAATTAATTCTTTCTCTATATCTATATTTTTATATTGTTAAAATTAAATTAATGCCATGTTTATTATGTCTTTTGGGTTTTCTCATATATCTATCAATGTATATATATCAAGTATGTGCATGTATGTCAAGTGTGTGGCTGAGAATTTCCTTGGAAATATTTTTATATTTTGGGAAGTCCAATGGTTTTCGGGAGAATAGAATAATTTAGTCAAATAGTGTTGGTCCTAGTTAGTACCAATTGGTGTTTGCCTATTTAATGTCAAAACCTGATGTAACAGAGTTGTCAAGGGCTTATATAATCACCATTGTTGTGCAAAGTGGCTAATATCATCACACAGGGGTAGTATAGTCTTTTACCATCTTGTGACACAATTTCACAATGGTTTAAGATATTATATTGTATTTATTCAGCATCTTCAGGCTATTTTGTGTTAACTGAGGTTTAATATATAAAAATTAGCTATAGGGTTTTTTTAGGGGTACTATAGTCTTTTCACAGTTACATTATATGTTTATACAAATGTTCAGATAGCTGCATTGCATTGAACAACTGTGATTTAGCCTGAATTATGATTTATACAGTCTCAGTAACTGTTTGAAGCTGAGAATGACAAGTGGCTATTACAAAGGCATTTTGGTCTTTCTACTTAAAGCTCAGGTATGTGACACGTTGCTATGGTCCTAAAGTGAGAGTGTATACATTACATTGCATTTCTTAATCAGTAAGTCTTTGATAAGAATGCTATTACAACCTTTACATTGTGAGCTGTAATTTCTAGCACTACTAAAGGACAAAACAACAGAGTTGGTAAGGGTATAATGGTCTATTCACATGAAGAATGTTAGAACATTCTCTGGCCAATGATTGGCTACAGGTGCCATATGTATATCCTTCTTGTAGTAGGACTTGAATTGTATATTTGAGTATATATATACTATTATAGCATTTTAGCTGAATTAAACCTTTTCAGAAACCCTAATATTGACCTGTATTGAACCTTACTTGAGAGCTTCACATGAACCAACATTTCTAAGGTCCTTAATGATGATCTGAACCTCAAATCTTCATAGAAATGTCACTGAATTGATCCTTATTGTTGTGTTCATCATAGAGTGCATTTGCTATCAAGTTTTGATAGTGCAAGGACTGGTTTGAAGGTTCACTTTGAGCTTGAGGTTGCTGTGGTGCTAAGTCAAGGTTAAGATAGGTATATTTGAGCTATTTACATTTGTTGGGTACTTTTTCTTGAGCTACACTTTGCTGCAAATGATTTTCACCTCTCAGACATGTGATTTTAGTTGTTTTATGGTTTAGCTTTGTAATTCATATATAGATTTGTTATAACTTGCTATATAATGTCTAATCTACATGCTAGAAAGTTTATATTGATGAATTAAGGCTGTTGAAGTTGGTTTTTGGACATACATTTGGTCACCTTTGGTTTTGACCTACCAAAACCCTAGTTCTTCATTTTGTAACTGTTGTTAAGGCCTTATTGAGGATATATTGTGATACACATGTTGTACTTATCTTGTTTATCATCTAAGCATGGTTGTAATGGTGATATAAGGCTGTGGGATTGATCTCATTATTTTTAGGACACGAAATTCTAGATTTACCCCTCAAACCTTAGATTCTACATAAAGGGTTATAGAGGCTACATATTGGTATTTTGAGCTGCACAACCACTCTTATCTTTTGTGTATGCTTGAATATTGTTAATAGTCATTCTTTTATATGTATCTGGTGAGCTATAAGAGCTTATAGGGTCCAAGCAAAGGTACTTAGGATAGGGGTGGTGCCTATGTCATTGTGTTGAGCTAGTGTGTGTGCAGAGCCTATGAAAACTAGTGTTTCAACTTGTATAAGGGTGTGTGAAGAGTGTGAGACAGCTGAGTGTGTAACTACTTGCATAGAATGAGTTTATATTGCCTGAGGCCAAGAACCAAGGTTTTTCCCTATTGGGATGGTTCTCCTTGTATACCTTGTGTTCATTGTATTTTCTTATCAACATTGATCTTGCTGAGCTAAGAAAGGTTTTAAAATTGACCAATTCACCCCTCCCCCCCCCCCCCCCCCCACCTCTTGGTCCAACAATTGGTATCAAAGCTTTGGTATGCATTATAAGGTTCTAACAAGCTTGTAGTTGATCTTTGCAATGGAAGAAGGTCAAGTCACCAACAAGGCACCAGGTTTTGATGGTTCCAACTATGATTCTTGGAAAACTAGGATGGAAGCCTTTCTAATGTCTCAATCCTATGATGTTGGGAATGCCATTGTATTTGGCATTAGTGTTCTCAATCCAATTAATCCTTCTGTAGATGACAGAGTTGTATTGGCCAATGATGGAAGGGCAAAACATATACTGTTTTGTGCTCTCAAGCAACAAGAGTTCACAAGGATTAAAAATTATAAGACAACTAAAGAAATGTGGGATTCTCTTAAGGCTGCTCAAGAAGGGAAAAATATAATCAAAGAGAACAAGATACAACTTCTAAAGGTTCAATATGAATGCTGTAAGATGGAGGAAAGGGAAGCTATAACAGATTACTTATTCAGAATTAATGAGATAGTCAACAACATAAAGGCTCTTGGTGAAGACATCAAAGATTCTGAAGTGTGTAATAAGATTCTAAGGTCTTGAACCTCTAGATTCAATGCTAAAGTCACCATTCTTGAAGATAAAGATTTTTCACTGATGAAGATTGATGATCTTCAAGCCTTTCTCACAGCCTATGAGATAAGAATTGGTGTCCCTACTCAACATAGAAGAGAAGATACTCTTAAGGCCAAAGAAATGATTGAAGAAGCTGAACCAAAGAAGCTGAACCAAAGTCTGAAGAAGATGGAGTAGCTTACTTAGCTAAGAAGTTCTGAAAATTTAGGTTCAAAAAGAGGACACAACCACAAAAACCTAACCTGTTATGGTTATGGTAAATCTGGCCACTATGTAGCCAACTGTCCTAATTCAAATGGGTAAAATCAGAAGAAGAATGAAGGATTCAACAACAAGGGAAGATTTGGAAGAAAAGCTCTTATCTATGATTAGGATGTTGCTCCTGAAGAAGATAAACCATAAAAAGGCCAAGAAGATGAATGTTTGTTCATGGCCATTCTTGAAACCTCTCAAGTTCAAGGTGAAGTGGAAAAAGATAATGATTCTAAAGTTGAGGAAATTCTTGAAGAATGTGGAAGACTTGCTGTGAAGTGTGATAAGCAAAAGTCTCACATCAAGAAGCTTAACTCAGAGCTGTTGAGGTCTAAACAATTGCTTACAAAGCATTTCAGGCTAAAACTGTTAACATTGTATTTAATCTCTTTGACTATGTTTAGTCTTTTGAAGCCTAAATCTAACAAGGTGTGGACCACCAAAAGGTATAGAGAGGAGATTTCACAGGCTCTTGAAGAGAGATCACTAAAAATGATAGATATTTGGAAGTATACCACAAAGCAAATTGGCAAAATAGGCATTGGATGCATCTGTGATACTGCAGCCAAGACAAAACAAACTCACTCTATGTTTGTAAAGGCCAAAACTGGTTAAGTGTATGCAAAGTCCTCCATTATCAAACCAACAAGGTCTAAGTATGACATACTTGACAATGTATATCACACTATAAGGTTCAACAAAAGTGACTTTATTACTACAACCATGAGAAACTTCAAGATTACTAATATACATGAAGA